CATGTGAACATTCTTATTTTTCAGTAATGATAATATGTTATTCTTTCCCTTTTTGTGATTGTGGTTACTATTGGTGTTGATGGTGTTCAAAGGATGTGAGCCCTCTGCTTTTTCTTTTTGTTTTTTGTTTTTTTTTTTCAAGAAATAATGAAATGGTGGTTTGATATATTATTATCTATGTGTGTAGCTAGTGTTGTGATGTGAACATTCACATCATCTGTATATTCTTATTCACATCATGATTGATTATCCAACAAAATAGTAGTGTATGGTTAATGCATTGTTGTTTTTGTCATATTTTTGTACTTTGTAAGCTACAATGTGAACATTAACATCATTCTTATATTCAAAACAAGGGTTGTTAATGTGAACCTCGACATTACCATTGTGGACATTAACATTTGTATGTGGATATAATATGAAGATTACCATTGAAAAGTATCTATTCTCACTTAATATTGTCCATTTTTTTGCCCCAACGCGAACTTTCACACATGTCACCATGATCATATTGATATAACATTGTGAACATTAACATTTGTCTATGGATATAACATGAAAACTACCATTGAAAAATATTCATTTCTACTTAATATTGTCCATTTTTTTGCCCCAATGTGAACTTTCACACATGTCACAATGATCTTGGTGTCTTTATCTATATTTTTGAATTTATGTGAACATTCACATTCGTATGTTTTATTATAAATATTCACATCATGTAATTGACAACACAATGACAAAAATTCATTTTCAAATTAATGTGAATATAATGACAGGCAACATCTTGATGCATGGGAACTACCAAAACATAATGGCAATCAACATTAATGGGGGTAAGAGAGATTTGGGGTGTTTTGGTCTTATTATCTCAAATAGGACCTAATCGAATAGTAAAAAAGAATATTGGTTAGATGAAATAAAACTCTTACAAAGAGAATTTATCAAAAAAGCGCCCTTTTAAAATTATAAAAATAATTCCCCCCCCCCCAAAACAGTGTCCAATGATATTATTCATGTTTGGTAAGTTGAATTTGGATTAAAATAATTAATAAAGACAAAATAAGTTAAAATAATTAATAAGAGAAAATGTCACATTTAAATTATAATTATTTTAATTTTTTTTTCTCATAATCATCAAATCAACTAAAAAAAATTAATTATTTTTCCAAATACACTATTTGGCATCCCCAATATTAGCATTTTTTTAAAAAAAATTCATATTTTTTTGTTCATATTATCTCTCTATTTTTTCGTACATTTTTTTATAAAAAATTAAAAAATATACTTATTTAGATTATCTCAAATATCCTTTAAAATAGTTAAAAAGTCAATTAAAATAGCCTACTGTCATCACGAGATCATGTTTTAAGGTAATAAAGTCTTAATGACAAATAATTATGATGGTATTATTTAAGGAAAGAAATTCAATGACATTTTGACAACTCATGAGAATTTAAGGACTTACTTTAAAAGTTTAATTTTAGACCAATCAAATTGTGACACATAATGAATTTACTTATTTTCATTGTTTAAATAATTCAAAAAATTGCATTGAATTTTTCAAGGATATAGAACAGAACCCACAAAATTTTGTAATCATTTGGAAGATCTTATAAACTAAAAAAAAACAAAAAAAATAATTAAAAAAAGTCATAAAAAAAATTTAACACATACATGAACATCAAAAAAAAATTCACATTATCTCTATTTTTTGCATAATTTTTTTTGTAAAAAAATTAAATAATTCTTTCTAGACCTATTATTTTTTTTCATTTTATATTTTAATAAAAAAATTACTTCCCAAACAGGTTGATAATATAGGGTTGCTTTAGGTATAATTTATTAACTAATTTTTTTTATTTATTACGGAAAAAACGTAAAAAAAAAATGAGAAATAATATAATTTAAATAAGTTAATATTTTTTTAAAAAAAAATATTGTCAAAAGAGACTATAGAAAGTTAGATTTTAGCCTTCGTTTGTCATTAGCTTTTTTAGAGAGTTTTCTTGTGTTCGGGATTTTTTTTAGTCTGACTTTTTTAACCTCGTTTGATTTGACTTGTTTGGTTTTTTTTGAATTTTGTAAAAGAAAAAATGTAATGATTATGATTTAAATGTGACATTTTATCTTATTAACTTATATAGCCAATTTTATCTTTTTGTGTTTTTTTAGCCAAAAATACATAATCAAATGAAGCTTTAACTTTTAATCCATTTTTGGTCACATCATCTTTCATATTTTTTACACACAAAAGGATAAAAAATTCAGAAAAAAATCAAAAATCAACTTTTAACCGACTTTCCAAATCACCCCATAATCATGTAATGATTATATCTAATTAATTAAAAAATTTACATAATTTATTTTTTTTGGTGAAATACCAATAAATATCAAAATGTGACTTTGTAAACTGTTTAGTTCTTCATTTTTTTGTATGAACCCAAATGTCCTATTAAAGTAGAAATTACATAAAATGGTAGTTATTTACATGTTTAGATTTAATTTTTTAAGGATAAAAGTATAATTCTCAAAATGTGAAATTACACATTTAAACAATTTGCAATATATAAGTTTTGAATTTTTCTTTATTTTAGAACGAACAAAAACCTAACACTCTAATGTACACTCCAATAACGTAATACTTCAATCTAACACACTAAAAAACTCATTGGTATACTTTTCCCAAACGTAACGCTCCAATTTAACATTAAAAAAAAAAATCATTATTGTACTTTTTCCAAACGTAACACTCTAATTAGTGTAATCCCAAACGTAACACTCAAATCAGTGTAATCTCAAACGTAACACTCCAATGTAACACACAAAAACACTAAAAGAACTTCTTAGTGTTCCTTTTCCAAACGTAACACCCACAGTTTGAAATTATACATTTGCCCAAAACTTACTAAGGAATATTTATATTTATTTTGGAATGATTTGAAAAATCTCACATTCTTTGTTTTTTAATCTTACATTGGAGTGTTACGTTTAAGAAAAATAGACTAAGAAGTTATTTTTTATTTTTGTTATATTGGAGCGTTTGGGAAAAGTACACCAAAGAGGTTTTTTTTGTGTGTAACATTAAAGTGTTATACTAAGATTTTTTTTTTTAGTGTTATATTGAAATGTTATGTTTGGAAAAAAAATATATACTAAGAAATTTTTTTGTGTGTTACATTAGAATGTTACATTAAGAAGTTGTTGTGTGTTATATTAGAGTGTTATACTAATGAGTTTTTTTAGAGTATTATGCTAGAGTGTTACATTTAGGAAAAGTACACGATTTTTTTTTTTTTTGTTACATTCGAGTGTTATACTAAGGAATTTTTATGTGTGTTATATTAGAGTGTTACACTAAAGATTTTTTTTAATGTTATATTAGAGTGTTACGTTTAGGAATAATAGACTAAAGAGTTTTTATGTGTGTATTACATTAGAGTGTTACAATAAATAAATAAAAAATTTGTGTTATATTAGAATATTACACTAAGAAATTTTTTTGGAGTGTTATATTAGAGTCTTACGTTTTTTTGGAGTGGTATTGATGATGTAGATGCTTAGGATGTTTAATGGAAGCTTTTGGAAATGTGTTCTATTTGAGTAGGGGTTTGTTGTATTGGCAGTGAAAGATTTTGTCGACTTTTGTATAAGATTTAATTGCGATTGTCCACGTAAATGTTAGGACATGTGGCTTCCATGTTAGTAAAAATTAACCAATTTCAATAGAAGTAATGAATTCATTATGTCGGTGTGTGCAATTGTAGGTATGTTGGAATTTTTATGGAATATTGATAACTTGTATGTTATTGGCGATAATTTGTTGGAGGTGTATATGTTACTGAAAGTGCATGGTAATGAAGGTGCATTTGTCAAAATCATGTATATAGTGGGTCTTATATGGGTGGTAGTGTTAAAATCAAACAAAAATAAAATAAAATAAAATAAAATAAAATAACAATCAACAACAACACTACAATTCCACATCAACCCCTTCACATCAAATGACTAAGGCCTCGTTTGGGAACTAGCTAATTTAGTAACTTTTTGGCTATTTGGCTAAAATGTGATGTAAAAAAAACTAGTATGTTTGGGATGACTTTTTGGCTTTTTACGAAAAGATGTGCAAAAAGTAGAGAGAAAAGGGAATCTTTGACTTTTTGGTATGAGTTGTTGGCTTTTTGAATTTTTTAGTAACTTTTTGACTTTTTGGCTAAAATAGCCTCTTGCCAAACGAGGCCTATCACTAACCCCACAAATCACTCCACGCGATACTCCACAAAAATTTCAAAAATTAACACCATACCACAACTAACCCACCCAAACATTAGGAAAAAATCACAATCAAAATCATACTAAAAGATAAATAAATAAACTCAAAAATATACCATAAATAAAAAGTCTAATTAATTTTAAAAAATACTTCCATAACTAAATAAAGGGACATTTTGGGTAATATTTCCTTATTTTTTCTATCAATCTTATAAAATCAACGATTGAAATCATGAATAAAAATCTCAAATTGGACCCACTAAAAAGGGGCCCACAGACCCAGACTCCTTCTCTATTAAGTCTCCTTCTCTGAATTGGGATCCTCCCCTTGAGGCCCCTCCTTCATTCCCTCCTTGTAGGGGCCTTCGGGTCCACTTTGAGGCTCAGTTTTGATAATCCGAACCGTTCATATTTTTAGATTTATTCAGTATATCATACCTGTAAAAAATCAAGTTGATCGAATATCATAAAGTATGTGTTCGAAAAATTGTTTATTAAAAAATAGTTTGTAGTCCCAATTTTCTGAACGCATACTTTCTGATATCCGATCAACTTAATATTTTACAGGTATAATATACTGAATAAATCTAAAAATATGAACGGTTCGGATTATCAAAACTGGGCCTCAAAGTGGACCCGAAGGCCTGCAAGGAGGGAATGAAGGAGGGGGCTCAAGGAGGGGATCTGGACTCTCCTTCTCTATGTCACTAGCTTGTGCTACACTCCATTATGTGGTTTGTGTCATCATGCGCAACGGACTCTCCATTTTCCGAATGGTTCAGCTTCCAATCCAGAACCCACAAAACCCCTACTAATTGATCTTCCAATCCCATCAATCAAGACCTCTCGAGCTCCAACAATGGCGGACCTTGAACAACCCACCATCATCGAGCATCGAGAAGAGCTCATGGTCTCACTCTCCGGCGGAAACCCAACTCTCCGACCCTCCCATTTCCTCAAACCCTCTGTTTCCGCCATTGAAGACCCAATCTTCGAGCTTCAAAACCCAAGTCTCAATCTCTCTGATCTTCCATTGAAGGTCGCATTCAAAGGCTCCCGAGACCCTCTGAGAAAGTGGGAAGATTGGGTCGATCGAATGAAATCTCTGCACCAACTCACATGGAAGAAAGCTGGGATCTTTGAAGCAATCATCACTTCTACGTATCAAATCCGTATCGACACTGACATTGTTTTAGGGCTTGGTTCTCGATTTTGTTCTGAGACGAACACGTTTGTGTTTCCATGGGGAGAAGCTACGGTTACTCTGGAAGATGTTGTGGTGTTGGGTGGTTACTCTGTTCTTGGAGACTCTGTTTTGGGTACTGTCGAAATCGAAGAATTGGGTGAAATTGATGAGAAATTGTTGAGAGTTCGAACTGAAATCACCCGAAGCAAGTCTAGAAAAGCCGATCAACATCAATGGACGAAGAGGTTCATGAATAGTGGAAGCGAAATCGAGCACGAAGCGTTTTTAGTACTCTGGTTGTCCAGGCATGTTTTTCCAAACTCTTTCAATAATGTTGGTAAACATGTTCACCATATCGCGATTCGTCTCGCTAGAGGGATAAAGATTGCTCTTGCTCCAGCTGTTCTTTCGCGGATTTATCGCGATTTGAGATTGTTGAAAGAAGCAATTGTTGGTTCTATGATTAGTAGGAGAACTAATGAAGATGGTGCTGAACTAGGTCTAATTGATTTATGGGCACCAATGCATCTTGTTCAGATTTGGGGTTGGGAGAGATTTCCCTCATTGAGGCCAATACCCAATTTGATTGAACACGGGGAGCCAAGAATGGCTCGATGGAACAAGGCGAAGAGACCGGGTATTGAGAATGTGGGATCGGTTATAGACTCTGCCGGAGACAGCTTCCAATGGCGCCCTTTCGCCATTTCTGAGAAAAGCTGGCTTCTTTATGAGTTCTACAAAGAAAGAGAAGAGTGGGTGTCTTGTACTGAAATGGATGAAGATTTGGAGTCATTTGCTCGGTTTTTGAGGGCTTGTGAGTTGGTTGGCCTAGACTGTATAGAACAGTATCTTCCTCATCGCGTTGCCATGCAATTTGGGATGGATCAAGATCTTCCAGGCCGTGTGGCTCGGTTCAATGAAACACCCGAAATTGCCTGGGAAAATTACACCAGACCAATTGGAGATGCAAAATTGTACGTTCCATCACGACTCTTCGAGTCAGATGTTACCACTCGATATCTGAAGTGGTGGATTCCATCAAATTTTGTACAGGAAAAGAATTTGAGAAAAAAATCACCCAGTTCTAAGGGAAAGAAGGTAGACAATGATGCCCCCAAAACCAAGAGGATCAAAGCGGCAAAATCTATTGGCAAAGATGAGCACATACTCGAGTCTTCTCAATGCACAAAACCTCAAACTTCATCACCTCTAATTGCAGATAATGGAGATGGGAAAGAGATGGAATCTCAAGTGGAACCAGGAGAACATACTAGGTGTAATGAAGCGGTGATGGGGGAATCGTGTCAATTCACTGAAAATGTAATTGAGAGTAGAGCAGGGATTCAGATTGATAATGGGGTAAGCATCAACAAAAATGAAGGAGATATCGATATCGACGATATACCTGGGTTTCCGGTATCGGAACTTGAAGCCCGGATTAGCAGACTCGAGAATTTTTTTGCTCAGCTAAAAGCAGCAAGAGCTAGGCGTTAGTTTCGATTAAGGGCAACAAAAGTCATAAAAGTCCGAGTTTGGTGTACAGTTGAGAAACCCTAATCAGAACATGCAGTGTGTTTTCCTTGGGATAATTCAAAATGTCAAGGAAGTGGACAATTTATTCTTGCTTCTTGTGGTGAATAGCTAGCTTGAATCACCATCTTTGCATCTAAAAAGAAGGTAGAGACATGTAATATTTTCAGAAAGGACTTATTGAGTGCTTTTCTAGTTTGTGAATTGTACTGTACAATTTTATTTCAAGTAGTCTTTTTCATATTTGTATTTCACAATGTTGTTATTCTGTTTCTCCATCTTCTTGAATCATAACTACATTGTAATGTTTTTTGGCCAACACTGTGTTCTTAGCATAATGTTGTTGTTATTAACGATGATGGACAAGACATCCAGGGACTTGAGCCCATAAAATGAACCAAGCTACTGGAGCTCAACTTATGTTCAGCTCATTACAAGTTCGTTTGAGATCAGATTGTTATGTTAACAGATTTTGAAACTTGTTAATTTTCTGAATTTGAATCGAACTCAGCTTAATAAATTTACATGTATTATAAAACTATATCTACCAGATATTGGCGAGATTGAAACACGTTTGAGATCAAGCCTGAACACATTTTTTAAACTCGTCTCGGCTTGACTTGTTCAAAACCTAAGATCAGTTGACTACCACTTGGCCAATGCCAATTAGGTTGGTAAGTCAGTTAGATCCCTTCATTTTAAATCTTCCAAATGTATTTGTTCCAATGCTCTGCCCTGCCTATTTTGGTTAAATACCTGCTGATTTTGTTACATTGCTTGATTGAACTTTAGATTTCTGTTGAATAGTCTGTCTTTGCTGTATATTCTTCATTAAATTGAGCCATTCCATTTTTTTAAAGAACTACCTCAACTCAACTGATAGAAAATGTAATGATTTCCACTAACAGCAATGGACATTAAAAAATGTGATATTTAATTTTCAAAGAATTAAATTAGTATTCAAAGAATGCCCAAATATTCTTCACACAATTGATAAAAATGGTGTCAAACCAACCAATAAAATAATTCATTAGGCATGAAATAAGATTAAGAATATGACACTTCTTTTATGAAAGTAAAATAACAAACATTACATGTATCAACAAATGGCTTAAACGGTAATAACTAGAATTTGTGAATGTTGAAGGTTGGTGATACATCATCATTCATGATGGGTTGGATTACAACCCCGATTTAAGGAGGATTATAGGCCATCCGATCTGGCTTAATGCACCACACGTTGTTTTGGGTAGCTAACAATAGGTAGGCGGGAGAATTGACTTGGAAAAAGAAAGAAAAGAAAATAAAGAGCTAGCACAGAGAAAATTATGCATCATTTCTCATGATTAATAAAATATCCACCTCAACTAACTTCTGAAAATGTGTGTGTGTGAGAGAGAGAGAGGTGGTTAAGAAAAGATATTGATATCTGTCAGTTACTAAAATTAGCATATTTGACCATGTCAAGTATATGTCTGAACACAACAGCCTAGAGGGAGAAGAACAAGGAACTGCGTAATTTTTCGTTACTTTCCTGAAAGACCAGAATAGGCTGGTCCTTTGCAGGGCTTAGGTTTTTGATTCTCATCTGATTAAACTCGAAAATTTCAAAACCTGCCCTCGAATTGCTTGCCTCTTGTTCATGCCACGGATTGAATTGAATCACAATGCATATGGATAACACTGATCTCACCATTTGATTTGAAGTTCTAATTAGAATCTGGTTTCGGTTGGATTGAAGCAGGTATTAGATGTCAACAAAGATGAGTTGCTTTTCGTGTTGCATGTCCGAAGAGCAAGTCAGCCAAAAATCATTGAAGAAAAGCATCAAGGAATATAAAGACACGAAAACTTTGGCCTCCTTTGCTAACATATCCTTCAAGTCTGGTAAATTTTTCTTCTTCTGTGAGGCTACCATTCAATTCAAGTGTTGCTAGAACTGCATTCTGTTCATTTTTCTAGAAATTTTTTTTTTTTGTATTGTAATTAAATTTCATTATTCAATTTGTTATTTCTGTTTTGCATCTTGATGGATCATTTTGCAATTTGAAGAAAAGCATAGTAAATTTTCTTGTTCTGAAAAGCTATCCTTCAATTCAATTGCCAGAATTGCATTCTGTGCACTTTTCTAAAAAAGAATTATGTATTTGTATTGATGTTCTTTCATTAACAATAATAACATTACAAATGCAGAAAATTTTCACTTTTTTCAATTTGCTAGTCGTCTTTTGCATATTGACGGATCATTTTACAATTTGATACAAGGTCTTGATGCACCTAAAATGCTAGCAAAACAGGGGTACTCTTTTTTGAAATAACCAGTAAAGATTTATTTTGCCAAAAACCTTGTTTGCCCGATTGAAATTTGATCGTGTTTCAATGTGCAGATGGAAGCAAGAGGAGGTACATTGCTGAAGAGATAGCGAAGATCGGAAAAGGGAATATTACTGCTCAGATTTTCACATTCAAAGACCTGTCTGCTGCAACCCAGAACTTCAACCCTGACTGCTTGGTGGGTGAAGGAGGCTTTGGCCGAGTTTACAAAGGGCACATTGAAAGCTCAAATCAAGTATACAATCTATCTCTCTCTCTCTCTCTCTCTCCACATGTAATTATAAAATATGTCAGAAAATGGATTGAAATGTGTGTTTTGATATCAATTTTATGTTCATGTTGCTTGTAGGATGTGGCGGTTAAGCAACTTGACAGGAATGGATTCCAAGGAAACAGAGAATTCCTTGTGGAGGTGTTGATGTTGAGCCTTCTTCACCACCCTAACCTTGTCAATTTAGTCGGGTATTGCGCTGATGGAGATCAGAGGATCTTAGTGTATGAGTTCATGGCCAATGGTTCTCTGGAGGATCATCTTCTTGGTATGCCCAAAACTAGCTCTGATTTGCAATATATTTTTAAGAAAGATGATCGGATAATTCAAAATCTTTTATTTTCACTTTGGTATTTTAGCATTAATATAAGTTTATGCCCTACATTGTGTGATCAGTCAATTGCAACCACTTTAAATTAGAGCAATGACTACGTACTAAAAAAAAAACATATAGAAAAATATTCAAAATTTGAAATGTGTGAGATCAATTTCTTTTTGGGTGTGGCCCACATCTAAAATTTCAAATGAGTTGAGCCGAATTGAGTTTTGTGTCGGAGATCGGGGATCTCGCCCAAGACCTTCCAGAATTTATACCAAGCAGTAAAACACACACACCCAAAGAGGCACCATATTTAACGTGGTTCGGCCTCAATGCCTACGTCCACGGGAGAGTAACTAGTTATCACTATAACAATAGAGAAATTACAGAAAGATTACAATAGAGGAGGAGCTCACACTATCCTCACTTACCCGTCTCCCTCTCTCACACCGAGAGAGACGGTCTCTCTGCCTCACATCTCTCACTCTCTTGGTTTGCTCTCTCTCGGTTTTCTTTCTCTCCATTCAACCCCTCTTCCTCACCTCAATTTATACATAATTGAGAGATGTTCCGATTGGTCACCACCTATCCCCTTCCATTAGCCCCATCCACTAGCTAGTGGGGTAGGTGGAGTGGGAGAACCACCTTGGGTTGATATCTAACATTTTTGGAGTGTTCTGGCTTGGCTCGCTAAAAATCAGTCAAGCTTAGAGAATTGACCTCGAGATTTGCTTGTTAAGTATTTGAGAAACTTGAGCCTAGATTAAGTCAACACAATTACATAAACGAGTCAAGCTCGAGTTTGAAAAGAAAAGGAAAAACCTAAATTATAATGCAAATTAAGGTTGAAAGAGAAGATTATGATCAAAATAATTTTAAAAAAATTATATTATTAATAAATTTCATCAATCGAATATGTAAAGTTGCACAAACGTTAAACATAAATAGAGAAATAAAATAAATATTGATTTATATATAATTGTATTCACGAGTCTATTCAAGCTAGGGTTGAGTCGAGCTCCGTTTGATCACTAAATGAGCCTAAAATTTTATCTCAAGCTGATTCAATTAACATATGAGTCAAGCTCAAACGAGTTTTAAGTTTACTTTCTCTAGTCAAGTTTCTCTGCAACTTCACTATACTTAGAGCAGCTCTGTTTTTCAGACTTAGCTCCAAATAAGAAGCCTCTGGATTGGTGCCAAAGGATGAAAATTGCAGAAGGTGCAGCAAGAGGACTCGAGTACTTGCACGAAACAGCGAACCCTCCAGTGATTTACCGTGATTTCAAAGCATCAAACATACTATTAGATGAGGATTTCAATCCGAAGCTGTCTGATTTTGGGCTAGCCAAGCTCGGTCCAACCGGTGACAAGAGCCATGTATCCACAAGGGTGATGGGAACTTATGGCTATTGTGCGCCTGAGTATGCATTGACGGGTCAGTTGACAACGAAGTCCGATGTGTACAGCTTTGGAGTAGTGTTTTTGGAGATAATCACAGGGAGGAGAGTCATAGACAATGCAAGACCAAGTGACGAGCAGAATTTGGTTACTTGGGTATGCTTGAAAAACCCTCTCTCAGCTCCAAAATAATCATTTCTTATTTTTTTGTTTTCTGTTTTTGCTTTCGTTTTCTGGAAAACACAACAGATTTTTGAATTTCCAACTTTTATCAATGTTTGAAATTCAGTTCTCTTGAAAACTGATATCAGAGATAATAGCAAAATGAAACTGATGTTTGTAGGGCTTCTATATTTACAAGTTTCTGTTTATGTTTACAAAAATTTTGAAAGTGGAAAACAAAAAATTGTTTGATATTTATTTTTTTCCAAAAAAGCAAGCAGTTTTACAACATTTTACTAAATTCTATAAATATAAAAAAAAATTATTTTCATTTGTTTCAAACAAACTTTCATTCCTTCCTCCCTTCCCCACCACCAGGCACCACCCCTAGCGACCTCCTCTGACCACCACCTCCAATGAGTCTCCCTCTACATTTGGCCACCACCTCCAACTTATCCCCCTCCACCTCTGACCACCACCCCTCTACTGGCTGCCACGTCTCGTGAGTCCCTCTCCACCTCCAAACCCCTCTGGACACACCCTCGTTTTTAATATGAGTTTTTGAAACATTTGCGTTTACCAAGCATGTTTTTCCTCTTTGTTAAAGAATTTGACTATGTTTCCAATATCAAACTCCTGCACAGTTTTTTACAGTAAAAAGTAATGCTAACTATTTTTGTTTTTGTTTTTGTTTTTGTAGGCACAACCTCTATTCAAAGACAAAAGAAAGTTCACATTAATGGCTGATCCATTGTTGGAAGGCAAATACCCCATAAAAGGACTGTACCAAGCTCTTGCAATCGCTGCAATGTGTCTCCAAGAGGAAGACAGTGTTCGACCTTTGATCAGCGACGTGGTAACTGCCCTCGAGTTCTTGTCTACAGGAAGCAAAGATGAAGATGAGGAGGAGGGGGATGCAGAAGAAAAGACGAAATTGCCCTCGGCCTCGGGTAGAAATATAGCTGAAGGTGTTGAAAAGAGTTCACATGATGGTGCTAGCGAAAGAGATTGATCAGAAACTTATCATTTGATTTTCTGTTTTTCCTTTTGATGAGAACATTGTGTATTCTTGGAGATCCAATTGTAACATAAAATTTGGAAAAACTGGTTTGCGACGGACACATAAAAGTTGCTTGTGTCTCTTTGTTGTGCTTACTGTGTATTTTTTTTTATGTCCCTAGATTTTCTCTTTAAAAAAAATGAGATGACGATCTCGTGCCTCTTTTGTGCACTTTATGTGCAATTAAACGATATTCTGGAGTCAAAGTCACTACTTTTTCTGAGTCGATTGTCATTTTATTTTATATTTTGGTATGTTGATGTGAACCTGTCGATTCCTACGATCAAATTTTAACATAAAATTTAAAAAGCAGCTGCTGCTTGTGTTTGTTCAGTGCACTTTCTGTATATTTTTCTGTGTTCATAGACTTTCTTTCGAAAAACTATGAAATCTTTTGTATCTTTTCTACTTACATTCTCTCTTCTTTTTTTTTTCGGTTTTTTTTCTCCCTTTTTTGGCATGTTGATGAGAAAAACATATGCTAATTAATTTTTAGTGAAAAATGATTTTTCGAATGAGACCTGTTGCTTTTTAACGAATTAAGCTAAAGTTCTATTTGGCAACAACTAAAAATATCTCATTTTTTAATCTGTAGTGATTATTCTTTTTTGAATATTCTAATTTTTTTTTTTTAAAAAATCAACCTTTTAAGTTTTTTTTTAAATTTTATTTTTTAAATCTCTTCATTTGACATTATAAGTTTCTTATTGACTTATTTAGGTCACATTATTTTTTTATTTTTTTCACTTCTTTTCGTAATAAATAAAAAAATAAAATTTTAGCCATAGACTTTTTTAAAAATTTTATTATTGTTATTTTTTAAAATTTGTAATGTTTTCTAATATAACAGAATCCGAACGATAAATTAGTTATTCAAAATTTTTAAATGTAATTAAAAAAATTATTATGAAAAGCAGGGAGACAAAAAGAATTATTTAATAAACAAGCTCCACTTGGTCAAAATTCCATTTTCTATATATTTTAATTACTATTAAATGCATAGACAATTATTAGTGCCATTCCTTCTATATGGCATTTTCTGTTATAATAATAAATAGAAAAAAGCAGAGAGACAAATATTTGCCAGCCAAGAAATTGTCAGCAATATTGGGGTTTTTATGAGTTAATTACACTTAGACCCTTCAATTATTAAAAAAATATTATTTTGACCATCTTATGTAGGAATTCATATATATTAACTCCTTTAATTATGAAAATTATATGAATACATTTTTTTTAAGATGGTCTAAAAGTTGTAAAAGTGGTGTATTTTTATAATTAAGATGATCAAAAGAGTATTGTTAGAGATCTCAAAATTTTTATGAAATGTCCACACTTAGGTGAGACATTTAGTAGAAATTCTGGTAGAACTTTTGGGATCTCTAACATTTTTGTGATCAAAATTGGGTGTAATACATATCACTCATGACATTTGAAAAGTTATACTAACCCCCGTCATTATAATTATTTAGGCAGAATAAAGATATTGAACTCGTGTACTCTTTCTTTTCTTATTTTACTATACTTCTATTTTTTTTCTTTTCCTTTGTTTTATTTATTTATTTTTCAATGTAATTTTATCTATTTTTTATTGAGAGTTGTTATCTTTTCTATATGCATGAGAATTTGTGAAATGAAACTATTAATAATAAAGATAAAAATAAAATAAAATATAATTAGACAAAATTTCAGAGGTGTCAGTGGAATTTACTCTTTTACTAGTTTTGATGTAATTTGACCAGGGTTTAACCGTGTCCCTGGATTTCAGCTTTCAGGTCCCCTCTCTCTTTCTACTCACTTTCTCTCTCTACATGGGCTCTCTGTTTCTGCTTCACATTCAGAGGGGCTCACAGCCACCAGTTTCAGACAAAAAAAAACAATAAACCCTAGCAAAACCCCCTTATCAAAACGGCTACTTATATTCGTAACCCAAGCATCAAGCTTGGAAGACTCGTAGAGGTCATGGCTATGGGGGTTTCTACTCAAACCACCCACTTTAAACCCTTCTCCTGCTTTTTCCCTCCTCTTTTCTGGGTTTCAAGTTCGACTGTGTCTTCTCGCTCCTTTTGGACTTCCTCCAGAAAAACTCTTCACAGAAAAGTCTTTCACAGGTTCAGCTTCAATCTTTTTCCTTTTTTATTTGTGTTGTATTTTGTTTTTTTGATTATTTTTCACATACCCATTTTCATTTTTCATGTTTTGGTTTTGGGTTCTTTCCCTTGTGGCGGTTTCCCTAGCTCCTAGGTGTGGTGTCTGAGCATTAGCTTGTTTAAAATTGACTTGAATACTGAATGAACTGTAAAATGTGCCTGTTTATCTTTTGAGTTGATGTCAGATGAGCTTTAATCGAGCTGATTGCTCGAGCAATTTGTTTTTTTAGAGATGTCAAATGAACTTTAATGGAGAAGATAATGAGTCGAGCTTGAGTAATTTGTTTTTTAATTATATAAGTTGAGAAATGGGTTGTTCAAACTTAATGAGTTTTAAAATGTATTTAAGATTGATTAATAAAATTGTAATGAGTTTAGGTCGAGCTATTGGGTTCTTTTTTGGTCTTAATTGGAAGAGGTATAGGATTTGGCTTAGTTTTTCTTGCATCGTTGCATCACAACACACAAACAAGCTTGTGCACGTTTGAGGCAAGGTGCTTGCTGGTTTTTCTTTGGAATTGATCCATACCTTTTTCTAATCACTTCAATTGGGATTTTGACAATGTTCAGCTTCATATTTTCATCTACCATGTATTTGGTTGGCCCTTGGGGACTGAATGAAATGGTAATTGATATAACTGGATGATTTTGGGACTATGAGTTTTTATCACACTACTAAACTTTTATGTGTTAGCACCTTGTGCAAACCAGCCGTGGTCATGCGGTTATTGTTAGTACAACATGTAATTGTTTTTCTTTTTAACAAGAATCATGGAATTTGTCCCTGTTTTAGTTATTTAAGTTCATAGTTTGGACATGAAATTGAATGTTGAATTTAGCTGATTTGAGTTCTAACTACATAATGCAGTTCAATTAAATATCCAAATTACGAATATGTTATTTAGCAAGAATTTTGATATTTGGCTCAGCACAAAAAAGCTTTCAGGTTGTGTGTCATGCATAAATAATCATGAAAGTAGAGAGTTGGTACAAATATGTATAGAGGATTGACTCATTTGGTTCTTTTCAATAGCTGAATAACGATGGAGTAGGAAACACATTGACTGGGAGCAGGAGGGAAATTAGGGTCATTTGTAAGACAGGGACAATCTGTTTGATCTTATTTAAGTATATGACAAAATATCGGCAAGCCAAGTATTTAAGACAAAGCTTCTTTTGAGTTATGTTTTATGCAATACATTGTTGAATAAGTGGGTTGTGAAAGCCATTTTATATTCTCCTCTTGGTGGGGATACTTTTTTTTGAAAATCGAGAACTCATCCTAGGCGGACGCACCCAAGGAAGGTAAACTCGAGGTTCAAATGCCACCACTTAAGCCAGTGAATCAGGCAAACGAGAGGAGATTCATAAGTAATGTGGTGGGCAAACCCACTTACCAATTTGGATGGCCCCAAATAAAACACACACATAAATGGACTTATCTTTCTACTGTATTTGAAATTTCTACATTGATTTATATTTCAGGCAAGGAGACTGTGCACTTCACAATGTTGCTGGTTCATTATCTAATATGGTTGTGTTTAGTATTTCTTTTCATTTTAAACAAGGTTCAAGTTATAATACCATGTCATTTGATGAAAAATATAGGCAAGATGACATGGAACTTTATCTTCCGTCTGCTCAATTGAAGTTTGTGGTTCCTGTGCGGGCAAGCTACGCTTCTAATTCATTTGCTCGGATGCTTCCGGATCTCCCAAATCAGATTAATTCTAAAGGAAACTCCTTCTCTGGGGGTTTTGGTAGTCCACAAAGGCTGGAGGAAGAGAAGAAACAAGGAGATTATCAGAGAGCAAGTGCTTCAAGTGCTGCTGGAATACTGTGGCTTGATGAGAAGAACAAATTGTTTGAGGAGAAAAAAAAATTAAGGAACATGGGGATGGCAGGTTGCAGTAATAGTGAGAATAGTTGTAGATGTAATGGAAGTGCATCTGGTGGAACTACTGGAACGATTGCGCAAAGTGAGCTGGAGGCTTTGCGAGATGGCAGTGCTTATGTTCCTGCACAATATTTTGAAGATTCTTGCTTTGTGGAGGATGACAATACCAGCAGAGAAATAGCTTTTCAAAGCCCATTTGGCCAAGGATACATAGGTGATGACCAAATTAACCTACCAGTTCATAGTCCAGCACAAAAACCCAACAATGAGTGTAATGTCAAGAGTGAACGAAACACAAGCTTCGTGCCTGGCTTGATTAATGAGGATCTTGCTTCATGTATGCCAACTTATGTTGAAGTGAGTATTTCAGACAATAACAAGCAGCTTACTAAATCATCCTCCAAACAATATTCAAGGAACAGTGCACAATCTAATGTTGGGAATGGAGCTTTAAGAAGCTCAACGGTACAAAGGCAATTGGTTAATCCAATAGTTCCACGAATTTCTCCGCCTCCATATGAACCCGTTAGTCAGCAACAAAAATATTCTGGAAATGGTAAAGGGCATGATAGTATGACCAAGGGTCGTGTTTTACCTCATTATCTGAAGGAACAAGATTTGTCTTTGGCGCAAACATCCCCAAAAGATATCCAGCCTAAGGGTTCATCATCAGGGGAGTTCTTAAAGGAAGTGAAGGAAATAAATTCTAAACAACTTAATGGCTCCACCAGTGATGCACTCCAAAAAGATCCAGCAGATGGAAATGTTGTAGGTGAAACCAGTATTAAGCCAATAACAGTTCACCAGCCCGATCCTCGTAAGAGGGTTCTTCGCATTTATGACAAGGTTCTTGTAGTTGATAATATCTCCATGGCAAGGAAAATTGTCAGAATGCTTACAAATCAGTACAGGCATTGCGTCCATGCATGTGATACAGAGGCATGTCTCATACTTGAGTTGCATTTATATGTTTCTGAATTTACTTGTGCAGATGCATTTTACTTAAGTTTCATGTATTTGTATAGTTGCGAGCGCTCCTAAGTCCTATGCTGATTGTGAGCTTAATATGTTCATTTACTGGTTATTTACAGGTGGCAAATATTGATGTCAAGCAGGAGACACCTGTTAACCATGGAGAAATAATATGCTTCAGTATTTATCCTGGACCAGAAGCAAATTTTGGTGATGGAAAATCTTGCATCTGGGTAGATGTTCTTGATGGCGGCAGCAAGGATCTTTTGGTTGAATTTGCACCATTTTTTGAAGATCCATCCATAAAAAAGGTAACTTTTTCTTATTGGTCATTATCAATGACTAAGTCATCAGTTTGTTGTAAAGACTGTTCCAATTGCTTATTTAGTATTGAAAGAAATATAACTATCATCTTGCATTGTTTTTATATGCATAGTTTGATTATAAGGAACTGGTGTTGCCTTACCTTGTCAATGAATATGAATATGATAAGACTCTCTGTCCATTCTGTAGGTTTGGCACAACTATAGCTTTGATAAACATGTTATAGAGAACTACGGGTTTAAAGTGTCTGGTTTCCATGCTGACACGATGCATATGGCTCGATTATGGGATTCTTCAAGACGAACAGAGGGTGGGTATTCTCTAGAAGCTCTTTCAGGTGACCCAAAGGTGTGCTGTGATACAAATTCGATTGGTAAAATATCAATGAAAACCATCTTTGGCAGGAAAAAGGTGAAAAAAGATGGATCTGATGGAAAACTTATCACCATTCCCCCCGTTGAAGAGCTTCAAAGAGAAGAGCGGAAACCATGGATTTGTTATTCTGCCTTGGATTCAATGAGCACACTAAATCTCTATGAGAGCTTGAAAAGCAAACTATCACGAAGGGAATGGAAACTTGGTGGAAATAAACAAGGATCAATGTTTGACTTTTATGAGAAATACTGGCGCCCATTTGGTGAGCTTCTTGTAGAATTGGAAACTGATGGGATGCTGGTTGATCGAGCCTATCTTGCTGAGATGGAGAAAGTGGCTCGAGCAGAGCAGCAGATTGCTGCTAATAGATTTCGCAGTTGGGCATCTAAGTATTGTCCAGAAGCTAAGTACATGAATGTAGGAAGTGATGCACAGTTACGCCAGCTTTTTTTTGGTGGAATTCAAAACAGGTATGAAGTGCATATGTTTAATGTTCAATTCAATGAAGCAAATCTTAAAAAAACTGGTATCTGAATTCTTTGGGCAATTTTATAAATTCTGTTCACCCTTTTTACTCTGAGAAGAGCAATACCTTCTGTTAAAAAAATGTCAAAGTGTGCATATGGGTGGCTTGCCCTTTGATGCCTTGCTAATATAACTAGATAATTTTGTTTTATCTTGCCGGTTAATAGGAATTATGGAGCCTTTGTAGCTATAGATAAGTTTATACCGTTGTTAAGTAGATTGTAATTTACTACACAAAATAATATTAAAAAATCTCTCCATATTATTATTTATGGTATGGCTTACACCCACACTTTTAACATGAAAATCAACATTTCCTGTAGAAATGATGACTGTGAGTCCTGGAATGAAGGACTTTAAACTTCTCTTCACATAATCTTGTTTTGTTATTTCCAAGTTGGCTTGTGTCTTCTTATGACAACTTTTGTTGCTGGGGAGTATTGCATGCTGATCTGATTTTGTATTGCCATGGATCAAATAAATTATAGAATTTGTACAAGTTTATAATTCATCTCTTTCTCATATTTTCTTTTCACAGAAAGGACACAAATGAGTTCCTTCCAGAGCAGAGGGAGTTTAAAATTCCCAATGTTGAGAAAGTAATTGAAGAAGGCAAGAAGACTCCCACAAAATTTCGTAATATTAAACTGCATAGCCTAGTTTCTGGGATAGAAGCTGAGATTTACACTGCAAGTGGTTGGCCCTCTGTTAGTGGGGATGCTTTGAAGACCCTTGCAGGGAAGGTTTCCGCAGAATTTGATTTTACGGATGACTCTCAGTCAGATGACAACATCATAAATTTGCCTGAAACCAAGCTCTCAAAGGCAAAGGTTGGAGCTGTTAGTGATGGCTCAGAATCTGCCTATGGTACAGCTTATGCTGCATTTGGAGGGGGGCAAAATGGGAAGGAGGCATGCCATGCCATTGCTGCTTTATGTGAAGTTTGCTCTATTGACTCTTTGATATCCAACTTCATTCTCCCCTTGCAGGTCATTATTCTGCCGAATTTTACTGGTTACAGAACAGAGTATGAATCTCTTACGAGGGATGGAAACTTGACTTGATATTTGAATAATCAGACCTAACCCCACCCCTGTTGGGATTGTTGTTGGGTACGCGAGCATAGGGTACACTTTCATGGGGCCTTTACCTCTCTCCATAGCCTCTACTTCGCTGCCACACCGCCATGGCGCCCTTCCTGGCACTAGGACTTAGAAAATATGAGGAAGTAGAATTCCGAAAATATGAGGAAGAAGGAATATATTTCTGTTATATTCAAAACTTCTTATCTTACAAGACCAAATGACACTCCTTATATAGGAGATATTACAAACATCATTATAACCCATTATATGCCACTTACATATTATATATTACCACTATCTACCACTATCATATTATATACATGCCACTATCTGCCACCAACACCACTATCATATTCTATACATGCCACTATCTGCCACCAACACCACTATCATATTATATACATGCCACTATCTTATTATATACATTAACACAAATTTCCAGCACTAGGGTTGGCTCTGATTCCATTATAATGACCCAAGAAGCCTAGTAACTTGAATGAAGTGGCCTACTTACCAGCATGGCCAAAATACTAGCTCAAGTTACTAGTAGTAGCACACATGCTTTTTCCATCGATGTGTGCTACTACTAGCAACTTGAGCTTAAGAATTTTGGCTATGTTGGTAGGCCACTCCACTCAAGTCACTGGGTAGTAGGCTACTTGGGTCATTACAGTTTAAGGCCCTATTATACTGGAATGTTCTGGCTGTGGCTTAGTATATCATATATCATGACTCATAACTCTGTCATGCAATGATGGTCATGCACAACAGACATCTCTTTCCCTTCATGGGGGTGTTTTCTGTTACTTGTTTTTCTCTAATACTTACATGTACTACAATATCTTAGTTTCAAACATGAGACAGTTAATGATTATACTTGTTTCTTTCTACCACAGGGCAGTCATATATCAGGCAAGAATGGGCGTATCCATTGTTCGCTAAATATCAACACGGAAACTGGGCGTTTATCAGCTAGAAGACCAAATTTGCAGGTTCTTGACATGTCATCCAGGAATCTAACTAATTACCAGCTGTACATTATAACTGAAAGACACAGATTCTTAGCATTTGCTTAAGCTGCCCCGTTAATAATTAATTCGTTGAATGGATTATTTGCTGTCACCAATGCATAACATATACCCTACTTTTGATGTCCACCTAAAGTGACAAAGACGTGGAAAGCCATTTTTCCTCCACTGTCTTTCACACAAAATGTATGGGGGTGTTAATGTTCTTGTGTTATGTAAATCAGAATCAACCTGCTCTGGAAAAAGATCGCTATAAGATCCGCCAGGCATTTATTGCCATGCCAGGAAACTCCCTTATCGTTGCTGATTACGGACAGGTAAGGCACTTCGACTGTTCTTCTATTCATAAATAGTTATCTCTGTTTCTTTAACCAATTTTTCTTTGTATGGATTCAAATGGTTGATTGACATATATCTTCGTAATTAGCTGGAACTTAGGATTCTTGCACATCTTGCCAACTGTAAGAGTATGTTGGATGCCTTCAGAGCTGGTGGGGACTTCCATTCAAGGACTGCAATGAATATGTATCCACACATTCGTGAAGCTGTCGAACAAAAGCGTGTGCTTCTTGAGTGGCATCCTCAACCTGGTGAAGAAAAGCCCCCAGTTCCTCTATTAAAGGTAAACTATAGAATCTTCTTAGTTCAATGACATAAGTAGATCCCTTTTCTTTTTTCTTTTTTAAAAATCCCTCTTTTCTTTTTGGGGGAATTGTGTGGAGTCATGTCAAAGACTATGATTGGTACTACAATATATTGGCTTGTATCTTGAAATGTTTTGCATTAAATGCATATGAGGTGTGTTAATGTTAACTTAAGCTTTGGACAAACCAAGGCATATTGGCACTGGGAAATTGGCAGTGACTGATTAGGATGGACCAGATTTGTAGATGGGTTTCATATATGAAATGTTTAAACTATTTTGCTCTCTAGGATGCTTTTGGTTCTGAAAGAAGGAAAGCAAAGATGCTCAATTTTTCCATTGCTTATGGAAAAACTCCAGTGGGTCTTGCCCGTGATTGGAAGGTACCTGAATTGAGAAATGACCTCTTGTTTCAACTGAGATATTTGAGTGTACCAAGGCATGAAGTAATTTCCATCTCTACTCTCAGGTTTCTGTCAAGGAAGCAAAAGAAACAGTCAATCGCTGGTACAATGGGAGAAAAGAAGTTCGAGATTGGCAGGAAGAACGCAAGAAGGAAGCTCGACAAACAAGATGTGTTCACACATTGCTAGGACGAGCCCGCCGGTTCCCTTCAATGGATCATGCTACACCCTCTCAAAAAGGTCACATTGAACGAGCTGCCATCAACACCCCAGTCCAGGTTCTGTTATCTCAACACCTTCAAATCTCTCTCTCTCTCTCTCTCTCTCTCTCTCGATATTGAAGTCTGTCATTGACAATCACAACAGGGTAGCGCTGCTGATGTTGCCATGTGTGCCATGTTAGAAATATCAAGGAATTCACGTTTGAAGGAGCTTGGATGGAGGTTGCTTTTACAGGTTAAGTTATTCCCATCATAAACCACCCCTCCCCTACCGCCCATAATTATTGGAAAGAAAAATGGTCTGTCTTGTGTGCACCCAAACCCACCTCACTTCTAATTATTAATAACATGATAGATCATATATATTTCCAAGTGATTCCATAATTAAAAGTGCTTGTGCTTGCGCTTGCCCATTAACATTATCATCATTATTTTCACTATATCCATTTACTATGTAACTTGCTGTAGACATCTTCATATGATTGACTTGCTGCATGCATGTTTATGTTGACCTTAACTTTGCCTTCTATCATTTTTTTTCCCCTTGAATCAATCTTAAGATCTTATCTGATTATTCATAAATCTATATGGATGACATCAGCTAACACTCATGTGAAAATAACTTGCACCATCATCATTCAAGTAGTTTGAGTCAGATAATAATAAAAAGTCTCTAACCTGGAATGCCTTCTTGGTTGTGAGACCAGGAATATCTCCAGATTTTGATGAATTAATCATCAAATTACATGCTATCTAACATGGCATTGGTGGCTGAAAAAGACAATTCTGCTGTGCACAGGTTCATGATGAAGTAATCCTTGAAGGACCAACAGAGTCTGCTGAGGACGCCAAGATCGTCGTCGTCGAGTGCATGTCTAAACCCTTTGACGGAAAGAACATTCTTAACGTTGGCCTTTCTGTTGATGCCAAATGTGCTCAAAACTGGTATTCAGCCAAGTAAATAGTCGGCACAATTCCCAGAACAGTCGAATTTTGTCTCCCCACCCCTAGCAGCAGTGCAACGTGTGCACGGTGTGTCAAGCTTCCCACTGCGCAGCAGGTGTTTCAATGGTACCTTGCACCTGGTGCAACAATTGTGTGTTTCCATAAGAGAAATGGTTCTTATATTCATGCTGACTTGGAATTTCAATTTTGTCCATGTGGTAGTCATGATTTGGCTAGGGTTTGGGTTAGTAGTACAAATATTGGCTGCTTCGGTGATTTTTTGTAATACATTTGAAAAAATGAGACTATGGGAGTGATGCATCGATGTATATAGAAGTTTCTTACTATTTTGCAAGGGATTTTGTATTCCCTTTGATATTGGATTCCATTGTTTTCTTGCAGATACTAGGGCTTGTATATATTTCAGCATTATTCTGATTTCTGTTTCTTTAATTTTGTGGGAACAAACCAACATTGATTCAAGGAATGAAAATATAGTGTTTACTCTATGCTTTCTGAAGGCCAACATAGGCTAATACAGTACTCAGTAGCAGGGCTTGGCATGGTGCTGCAAATACCAACTCATTTTTCCCATTTTCGTTCCAACTCTACCCTTACGCCTAACTTTTTGAAACCTTAATGCCAGCCACCATAGAACTACTGCCTCGGGCAATCCCCACCACCATGACCGAACCTTCTTCCCCTTTCTTCTCTCTTGCCTGAGTCTCCATGTCGAGGGGTCCTGAAAGTGGTGGCTATGAAGGTGTAGGGTTAGGGTTAGAGTCAAGGTTAGGTATGAGAGTAAGGTTGGAATTTTACATTGGGATAAAATTGAAATAAAAAATTATGAAAAAATGTGAGCTCATGGAAAAAACAAAAAGTTGGGGCAAATGGCAGTTTCCAAAAGGAAGCTTCATCAAAGGGGTCTCTCTCTTCACCTTAATGACCATTATTAGGAGAATTTTATTATACTCTCACATACCATATACACCCTTAATTACGAAATTTTCTTCTTTCCTAAACCTGTGAAAATTATGTAACTCTCATTTTCCTGTCCATTTTCCGTCAAAAAGCTTAACTTCACTGGAATATGACTTCATTTTCCTAGCCATTTTCTATCAAAAAGGTTTTCTATAAAAAATTTGAACTTCGTGCAAAATCTGCTATTTTTTTGTCAATAAGAGAAGCAAATCATAAGCTACATTTCACAGCACTTGCGGGTGTCTCTTGATTTTCACATTTAAGCATCTATTTTGCAATAAACTGAAAGAAAGAGCTTTCCACGAGGCCGAGCATTTGTAATGTGCCACCCCCAACTTATATTAGAACAAAATTTATATCCAATTTCAATCAAATCAAAATCATAAACTGTAACTAGTCAATTCCATTATATGGTTGTGCTGTAGACAATTCACCTGACCTATGTACACAACATGTTCATCCCAATCACCAGACCCCCCCAAAAAACCAAAAAACCCAATCTTGACAGGCCACAGAGCTCATGATTACTTCTCCAGCTGTTGCAGATCAATTCCCCATGCTGATGCCAACTGCAACAAGAGTTGGTCGGGTGTTGCACCTTCCCAGTCCTCAGATGTGTCAATTTCTGTGCAAGCATCGTGTAAATTCAGCAAAAGTTCCTGTTTTACTTCTGTTGGAATGCCTAAGACGTCAGGTCCATTTTCTCCCACGACATCTGCCAACTGCAGAAAAAGCAGAGCGAAACAAGAAGATAACTTAAGCAGTTGAAGCAAAACAGAAAAGAGGAAAGCTACTGAACATAAACAGTATTTCAAACCATGAGTAGAGAACAATGATGGGTTTGCATTTGGTAAGGCAGAATGTCTAATTTCTTCATAGTTTTGCTGTTCCCAGGCCGCCCCCCCCCCCCCCACCTGGAATGCCTTCTTGGTTTTGAAAACATAAGATGGCTCGTCATATAAAGACCAGGTACGATTTTACTTGGATGGACATTGCAGAATATCAAACTCACAACTTTGGTTGGAGGATCTAATGCATCAGCATTTTACTTCATAGTCACTTCTCACATCTACCCCAAAATAAACACACAACAAAATTGTTCAACCAACTTGCGTCCATGGGTCAATGATCAATCGTATGGTTACTTTTATCTAAGTCCACAAAATATTATAAGCTAGACTCACAACAGGTTTCTGAAATTTCTTAACTTTGTGCTGTGCATGATTCATAACAGGCCTCAGCAGAGGGAAGGTGTAGCTTGTTCAAGAAACTAGATTTCATTTAATGGTGGTTCGGATGCTTTGACTGAAACCCATTCCTACAATGCTTCACGCATTCAAAATTACTTCATTTATTGCATTAAAAACAAAATTAATTATTAAATTTTTATTTCAAGTTTCTTCAATCTAAAAATATATTTCAGAGAAACCCTTTCAGGCATGTGGTGAAAACAAAATGAAATATGTATTTCTGGTACATAACTACTTATACTGCTAACAGAAACTGCATATTTTCCAGTTACTATGATCATTGTTAATTCTTCATTTGGCTGTGGGAATTAATTTTTTTTTTTGTTTTTTTCCAGGTTTTGCACAAGCAAAGCAGGTTAAAGTTGTAAAAATCAGGAGAAGAAAGTACCTGTTGAGTCCAAGATACACAAATGTCAGACAAGTTTTGGTCTTGTAGAAACTGTGCAACAGCATGCAAAACCTCACTTGCTACCTCATTTGAGAGTTGATCAGCAACAGCTCCTGTTCTGTCCATCAGCTTCACAAGCAAGAGATCATCACCAGTAGACAAAACTTCAGCATAAGCAGAATCCATATCACCTACGTGAAGCGCATCCATTGCATTACTCCATGAAGTCCATACAGGGTCTCTCTCGGGCACACTATTGTCATCTCCCAAAGCTTCTGCAGTCAATTCCGGAATCGCTACTCTTGAATTTCGAGCAGTTCCATTGTCTTCGCCAGCTATTCGAATTGCTTCCAAGGTTGCTTCATCCTTTGAAGCTTGCCACACGCTTCTCGCGGAAGGCCCTTCACCGAGCCTAACAGGTCCTTTATCCCAAGCTCTCCTACTGCCAATCTGATCATTCTCATGTTCCGACTTAGGTGACCTACCATCACCAAAGATTCTCCTAGATCCCATTTGCCCATTTTTTCCATATGTGTGAAAATCCCAATTATCAGAAACATCGGATCTCCAAGAAGGTCCCCTTCCTCTCATGGTTGAACCTATACTTTCAGGTGGGCCATACCTCTCCCCAAAGGGCATCCACCCATCACTGCTTCTCCCCAACTTGGAACCAGAGTAGTCAGCGAAGCCATTATACTTGCCTGAAGGCCTATTAGCACCCTCAAATCCCACCATAAAGCTACTACCTCTTCGACCCGAGGATATTGACAAGTCCCGTGCCATATCTTCAACTACTCTCTCTAGACCCCGTACTCTGCTCTCTAGAGTCACCATGCTTTCATGAGACCCACCCATGAAATCCTGCAATTCAAGAAAACTATAATGAAATAAGCAGATACAAAAAAAATAAATAAATAAATAAAGATGAAGTAAGAAAAAGTAAAACCATTTTCTCTACGCAAATAAATTTGACAGACCTGCAACATATTCGTAAGATGAGCTTGCTGTCTCTCCAGTTGTAATAATTGTCTCTGGATAGCCAACCAATTCGTTCTTGAGTCTTTCCCATTACCTCTCTCTTCAGCCCACTTTTCTCTGGTAAACTCGTCAAAATCTCGCTGTCTAGAAGACACGCCAACAGTTCCTTTCTCAGTGCTGTTATACTTGAGGTTTACCAGTCCATCATCTGGCTGGCAGTTCCCCTTTGACCTTGCCCTTGAATTTGAATCATTTGGCTCTGATTCTCCCTCATTTTGCATATTTTCAGAGTTGAGACATCGACGAGCAACAACCACCTCTATGGGCAAATCACCTGAACCTCTTTTTTCTAGTTTCTGGAAGAATTCTGGGTTCAATTCCTTGTCAGTTAGGGAAGGTGCCCTTTTCTTCAATAACCCAACTGCTTTGTCTAAACTGTTGCTGCCTTTTCCTTTGGAAGCAAAATCACTAGGAGATGATCCGCTTGATGGAGAATCCTTCGCTGAGGCCTCAGTTTTGGTGTTGCCATGATTTGGAACTTTCAGGTCCTTTTTTCCTGACAGCTCAGCTGGCTCAGAATTTTCACCATCTGAAAAATTGGCCACGTGGAAAAAGTGAAAAATCAAGATATGAATAAATGCAACAAGCTAATTCAAGAATCAGTCAAATGAAGAACATTGCCCTGGTAAACTTACCACGAGATGCAGCTTGCTGGTCTTTGGAAGCACCGTCTCCTCCTTTTCCTGCCATTTTCTTCCATAACTGCAGTGCCTCCAGCATACTATCTCTGACAGGTTTGATCTGAAAAATCAATTAATCATGTGAATGTTGAAATATTGAGTGTATAACAACCTACAGCAATCAATCATTCTTATTTTATATACCAAAGTCACTTTAGAAGACCTATATGACGTCTTTAAAAATATAAAAGCTAACAAATTCTATGCAGAATCACAAAACCACTTACAGGTTCCACTTTAAAAAAAAAAAAAGAAAGAAGAAAGAAGAAGAAGAAGAAGAAGAAGCAAACAAACTAACAAACAGAGCCAACCCTCCCTTCTTCCTCAAGTCATGCTCTCTTCTAGAGCTTGCATCATGATTTTTTCATTTTCAAATTGTTATATGGACCCTGCTCCAGAATCTTTCAACATGAGAGTGAAGCTGATTTGTGATCATTCCATCTTCAACAGTCTATTATGCAACATGCTTCAAGTTCGTGGATCAAGAATGGAAAATGTCAATAGCTTGATAATAAGGATACAATTCAAACTCAAATGTTGTAACTGTCAATAGCTGAGAATAAGGATACAATTCAAACTCGAATGTTGTGTCAAACTCAACCCACCCCCGGAGGGACCCTCCCCTCAAGAAGACTATGGAAAAGCTTCAGAAGTAGGGTGAAAATGAAGAATGTAAAAATAAGTGCATATATAGAATGTGAAATACGCCATTGATGTGCAGGTAAAGACTAATTACCTTGCTCTTACATATACCTAACTAGAGATTCATATCCTAGACTCTAGTAACTCAGTAGATGCATTCAGACTCTAAACCTGAAATGCTAATTGAATGACACAATCAAACAAGCCCGCTGAAGAAAGAACATCTAACAATGCCACAAGCAAAAAAAACAGGCAGGTGTTTGGCGCATGTAAAGATTTCTAGCATCATAATTTTAATGAAACTGAAACGAGATAACTGTAGATATTGTAAGTATAGACACATGCATCACAGCAAGAGGGCTTTAAAATGGATCATTATCTAGAGGAAAAATTATTCTAAGTACCTTGTCAAAGCGGCAAGCCTCAAGCACTGTCACCGTGGAAGTAGCTCCATCTGCAATCAAGTTGCTTGAATGTAACGCTAAAGCACTTAATGTATCAGCTGCAGCTTTACGTGTTGCCCAATCTGTACTTCCAAGGCACTCATGAATGCTTTGCAGCAATGGCTCCAAGCTTTGTGGCGCAATAGCCCCTACCTACAGGAAGTGTTTGATAAAGAAGCTTTAAATTGACAACATTATTTGAGTACGTTTTATATCTAAAAGAGCTTCTATACAACCTAGGCTACTGATGAATGGTTTCAGTTTCAAATAAGTTTTGCTATCTCATACAAAATGTACAATATACATGGCGGTAAGAAACAAAAGAAACATAGATGGAGGTAGGAAAACAATGCTGGCAGATATTGGTACATAAAAATATCAATGTTGTAAACTTGTAGCAAGGTTGGATATGTAAATATATCAATACTGCTATTTGTGATTTGTCCTAGATAACAAAGGAGATTCCTATTGGACGGCCCTAATCAAATTTTTATGTTTTAACTGAGTTATTAATATTATTCCTTCAATCTAGTTTCCACTTAAAGTGACAACTTCTCTAACATTTTCCTTTCTTTCTTAGTGGAAAGGAGTTCGAATATCACCCGGTGAATTGGGATATGGTTTGTACTCCGATTAAAGACGAAGATCACAGGATTGGTACACGGTTTGTGCTCTCCTTGACATGATTGAGTTTTTTACACATGCATTGCTGATTTCTGATCAGGCCTTCAAAATTATATATTAAATGGCACAGAGCCTCTCAAAACTGAAATCCTCTTGAAATAAATTATAGAAATAAAGGATCTGAGTGTAGTCAACTATATACTATAATCAATTTGAAATAAAAAATCACCTGAATTATATAATGAAAGCTGACAGATTGCTGACACTGAATAGTCCAACAATATTAATGAGGACTCACAGAAATTATATTGAGGTTTGATAATACTTTGTAAATAATATTAAAGTACCCAATAATCCATTTGGTTGTGAAAACGATAGGACCATAAATGTAAACACAAACTTCAATCTCAAAGCAGATTAGGTTGAAGTGACTACCTAACAAACACACCATCTTTTTCTTCCCTTCACCTACATTTTCTCAGCAAGCAAACCAAGCATATATTTCAATTGATTGTAAAACTCAATTCATATGATATCAAGATTCCAAGTTTTATACCATCGTTTCTCAGCACTCAAACATGGCAGATGGTACAATATATATCATTGAATCATCAAATTCAAGTCAAGAATCCAATTCATTTTCTTCTACTAAAACACCTCAGCAATTACACAGCTTTAAAGTAAAACTAGAAAATCAAATATGAGACAGTTCATCTTAAGAACCCAATCTTGCTACCCCTCTCACTTTCTTCGTATAATGGAGTACGGCTTAAAATAAATCATCTAAAATTGGCTATTAGCATGTAAGAACTCCAGCTTCTCAAATCTTTTGGTGAGAATCGAAACAGTGTTTTTAAGAGAGCTATATTTCTCACCATTTCACATCATTTCTCATCTATTAGTCATGCAAACAAGTGAAAGATTTTTCTTTTCTTTTCTCACCAAATCCATCTATCCAAACGGACTGTTAATTCCTAGCCAACTAAACAAAGTTCAAAACTCAATTCAACCATCAGATTTGACACCACAAAAGCAGCATATTTGAAATTGAAAACAACTCAAACAATTTGAAATTTGAAAACAACTCACAAACAATTAAAAACACAGCATTCAACCCACCTGAGACAAACTCGAAACCACGGGCAACAAAGCAGCCTTTGCTAAGAAATTAGGATTGTTAAGCAACTTGCAGATCCTAGGACACAGCTTCTGAAACGGACCAACAGGCGGGTCCGAAGCACAATCCACCATCTTCGCCATACAAATTGCCGAACCACCTTGAACCCACTTGTTCTGCTCACCCATAGCCTCAAACAATGGCTTAACAAACAGCGAAACAACCGACCCAAAACCCCCATTATCGCCCTCACCCTTCAAATACAGCTTCGAAAGCGCCCCAATCGAATCTCGACACGAATCCCTAACCCCCGAATCAGAGTCTTTGAGCCTCTTCACAATGTGGGCAATGATTTTCGTCAAATGGGTGGCCGTGGAATCGACGTGGGCGGCGGCGAGGGCGGCGAGGAGGCGGAGCGATTCCTTCTTGACGGCGGGTTTGGGGTCGGCGGTGGCGTCGTAGAGGCAGTTGAGGAGCATCGAAACGCCGTCAGGAGAGAGGGTTTGGATGATCTTGTCGAGGTCTTCGATGGCGATCTGGTGGGTGTCTCTGTCGGAGAGTTTGGAGAGAGAAGTGAGGATTCTATGCTTAAGCTCAACCATGGCAAGGTGGGAGGAGAGAGAAGATGATCTTGAAGGGGATTGGGTTTGGGATTTTGAGGGTTTGGAGGATTTGGGTGTTTGTGAAGTCATTGTGATTGAATTTTTTGTTGAAGAATCACAGAAATGGTGTTGCAAAGAAGATAAAGATTTAAATTTTTACAGAGAAAGGTAGAGAGATTGGTGTAATGTGAATGCTAAGATTTTGAAGATGGGACTACTTGTGGTTGTGGGCTTTGTAGTATGTATAAACACAATGGTGATGCAGAGGAGACATAGATTGGAGAGAGAGAGAGAGAGAGAGATGTAGTGTGAGAGCAAAGGCTTGAGAGGGAGAAGTTTAACCGGCCATGAAAGCAAAATCAAAGCCACTTGGAAAGGAAATGAGATCTGTGTGAGAGTGAAGATGTTGAACTGTAATTTTCAAAAAAATATATGGGTTCGTTTGGTTTGAATTTCCCAAAAAATTTTGGAAAAATTTCTCTATAAATGAGTTTTTAGAAAAACTCAAACCAAACAAATTTTTCTAAAAAAATTTTCCAAAACTTGTAAACCAAACAAGTTTTCCAAACAAATCTCTCTCTCATACACATCAAATCAATCACTTTTTCCAAAATTCTCTCTCAAAAATAATTTTTCAAAACATCTTTCCAAAAAAATCAAACCAAACAACTTTTCGTACTTTTTATCTCCCAAACTCATCTCCCAAAATCAAACCAAACAAGCCCTATATATAAATAAATAGAGATCTAATGATTCATGTGAAACAGAAAATGGATATACCCAATGATAATAGGTGACTTCAATAAGAGACGTTAATGGGTCGTCCACGAGTATTATTGCTCCATCCCATATAAATCAGGATACTTGTCCCATTGTCCTCTCAAAAGAGAAAAAAAACTGATAAGACCTAATATTTTAACTAATAAAATACATGTTAACACCACTTATATTTTTCCTTGGAGCACCACTTCAATTTTCCCTTGGAGCAAAGTATAATTTTCCCTTCCATAGACCATTTACGTCTATGAAATAGGAAACAGTGGACCATGATTCTAGGTTCAATTTTGTTATAAATAATAATAGTAATATATTTATTATTTGTTAAAAATTTATGATAATTTTTGATAAAATTTTAGAATTATAATTTAAGAATAGAGTTATTTTTTGAGTTTGTCAGTTTTGAAATTATGATTTGAGTATGAAAAATTTATTTGATTATAAGTTTGAATTATGTTTAGAATTTTTGATGTGGCATATGATATTTGATTCAAAAATTTACAACTCATAATCAAACACACAATTCAATTTTTTTTTTCAAAACCCATAAAAAAATTTAAAAAAATTCCAAAAATACTTTTTTATTTAAAATATAAAAGTAACAGGTGCCCAAAAAAAAAAAACACGAATATTGTTCCGGCCAACTGGTTAGATGACTGGTCGAACGTCCAGATGGACAACCGAATGAATGTGTTTTCAAAAGTAAGTGTGAAATTAATTTTTAAAAATTCTAACCAAACACCACACTCAAACCAAATGGTAGAATTAAGTTTTGAAATTTCTACCAAACACAATGTATATTTTTCTACATTATATGTGAAAATTATTAAGTGCCGAACCACCTTGAACCCACTTGTTCTGCTCACCCATAGCCTCAAACAATGGCTTAACAAACAGCGAAACAACCGACCCAAAACCCCCATTATCGCCCTCACCCTTCAAATACAGCTTCGAAAGCGCCCCAATCGAATCTCGACACGAATCCCTAACCCCCGAATCAGAGTCTTTGAGCCTCTTCACAATGTGGGCAATGATTTTCGTCAAATGGGTGGCCGTGGAATCGACGTGGGCGGCGGCGAGGGCGGCGAGGAGGCGGAGCGATTCCTTCTTGACGGCGGGTTTGGGGTCGGCGGTGGCGTCGTAGAGGCAGTTGAGGAGCATCGAAACGCCGTCAGGAGAGACGGTTTGGATGATCTTGTCGAGGTCTTCGATGGCGATCTGGTGGGTGTCTCTGTCGGAGAGTTTGGACTTGTTATTTGGATTAAAAAAAATTATATTTGTTTTTAATATTTTTAAATATATAAATTATTTTTTTAAACCAAAATGACAAATTATTTTTTGAATTGAATTTTAAAAAGAGTTTGATTATGAGTGTTGAATAAAATTTTGAATAGAGTTTTCAGTTGTGTGTTTGGTTATAAGTTATAAGTTTTTCAATTAAAATTTTAAAAACTATTTTCAAAACTCATAACCAAATAATTTTTTTGATTTCATATGTCACAACAAAAAATTCAAAACTTATAACAAAAAAAAAAAATTCTTTTCAAATCATGCTTCCAACACTCACAAACTCAAAATATAACTTTATTCTCAAATCATAATTTTAAAACTCTACCAAACACTACCTCAGAGTTTCATAATTAAACTTTTTAAAAAGTTAGTTAAAAGCTAACTTTTTAATTTTTTTTTTAATTATTTTATTTTTTTATAAATAAAAAATGTGATAAGTAATATGATTTCAAATAAGTTACTAGTTAAAAATTGACTTTTAACTGGATTGCGAAAGAAATGAGTTAATGAAATCAACCAGAGACTGCAAATATTTTCATAGAAGTTTTTGTACTTTGTTACTCATATTGTTTTAGATTTGTCAGATCATAAATTATAACTCAAGAGAATGAATTTTGCTGGTGACTTGGCAAAATTCTTGGTCAATCTTTGGCTTTTGAATGGGAGTATTGGGTGTAATTGTTAATTCACATAGCGATTAATCAATGACAAATTTCACATTCTGATAGTAGGATTATAAATTATTATTATTATTATTTATTAAAAGAGCCGCTCACACAATGTTTAATTGGAAAATTTAGAAAGAAATTTTGAAAGAAAAATAAATAAATAAATAAAATAATTGAAATGTGAATAAAATATATTTCTATTTTATTTAATTTCACACATTTTTTTTTTTCAAATTCCTTCCTAAATCTTCAATTAAATATAACATTAATTAAAATTTCTCTCAAAGTCTTGACTTCTTTCTTCAAGCCACATGGTTGGTATAATTTTATTAGGTCTTTAGGTTATATTTATCTTTCTATTGTAACCCCATCCAACAAAAAAATTAAAAAAAAAGAAGCAAAAAAAAAAAAAAAAACTCATCAACCTAAGATTTGAGACATTTTAGTGTTGGAATTTGACTTAAAAGGATTATTTTGGAAAGTTGGTTAAATACTGAATTTTTGATTTTTTTTTTTATAAAAATGTGTAAAAAAATAGAAAAGTCATATGGCTCAAAAAAATCAAAAGTTTTAACTAACTTGTCAAAATAGGCAAACGTATACTTTTTGGTGAAACAGAGGGTGGTTAGTTGAATATTTCACAAATTATTTCGTAGGTCAATTACATATTTTAAAAAAAAAATTATTTTGCAGTAGTGTTATATATATCAATTGATATACCAATTAATATGCCAACATATGTTATAACATTGTCACTTCAAAATTATGATCCTACCCAAAATTACAAATTACAAATAACTAAAATCTCTAAAATTATATCACATTATCTATTAATACATTAATTAATATACTAATTATCTATTAATACATTAATTAATATACTAATTAATATATATAACATTATTCTTTATTTTGGAAAGACATGGAGGTTGGATCCTCCATCATTGTGTGTATTAAAAGGTTATATATCAAAGGTCTTTCAACTCTATCTAGTAGTGGGACTGCCAAAGAATTAAAAAGGAAACATTATTGAGTAAGGTGGAATGGAAGGTTGTCATGAGTTTTGTCAAAATATCACGATTGTTCTATTTAATAACAGGGAATTATGTGTTGATAGGATTGAATGAACAAAAAAATAAAAAAATAAAAAAAGAAGAAGGAGAAAGGATTAAATCATAAACTACTATTAGTAATTTGTATGATTACAAGTAATTTGTATTTTAAATAAATATTAAAAAATATATTTATAATTTACCCTAAATTAATTGACAAGATATTCTCACCATGTAACTCAAATCAACAAAACCTTTAAAAAATGATGAAACCAAATTTAAGAACCAATCAACAAAACTTCCAAAAAAATTACAAAAAAACACACAAAATTTGGTAAAATGTTTTAACAAAACTCAATCACATAAAATGACCATGTCTAATCAGCGGAACACAATCTCAAAAGAAAATAAAAAAAAAAACAACCATGGGATAATCAAATTTGTAGTAATGATATTTTTGAAATAGTAACAAACAAATTGGGTCATCATCAATGGCACGGACATGCATATCTACTAAAAATTTATCACTCTTCTCTCTTAAATGTTCTCTACAGTTATTCTTTGGATAAATAATTTTCAAAACACAAATAACTTTATGCCTTCGTTTGAAATGTAAGTTGACTTTTTAATTTTTTTACCTTTTTAGTTTGGGGTTAAAAAGTCTCATTTGCGATGAGTTTTTTTTATTTTTGTGAGAAAAAAAAATAAAATGATTATAATTTAGATATGATATTTTATCTTTTAACTTTTTAATCTATTTTGTGATTTAAATAACCATAAAAAAACTCATGCCAAACATAGCCTATATAACAAAGCTAATGAGATGTACGGCATGGATTGAGGCTTTGGGCAAAATAGTCTTTAGCACACTCAATCCACAGAAAGCGAGTACATTATTGAGAAAGGTGAAAGTTAGGCATGGATTGAGGCTTTGGGCAAAATAGTCTTTAGCACACTCAATCCACAGAAAGCGAGTACATTATTGAGAAAGGTGAAAGTTAGGCTTAGTTTGGGAAGACTAAATAAGTGTACTTTTTGACTTTTTATGAAATATGGGTTGAGTTTGGGTTTGGTTTGAAGTGATGGGTTAGAGAGGTGATGTGACTTAAATAAGATGATGTGACTTAAATAGGATAGTGACTTTTTAACTTTTTGTCTTTTTTGCCTCATGCCAAACTTGGCCTTAGTTTAAGACTTATCAGAATATCACATTTATTATGTGTCTATTTAATAATAAAGAATTATGTATTTATATGATTGAATAATTTTTTTAAAAAAGATTAAATCATAAAGCATCGTTATATAATGATAAGAACCTATGTGATGATATTTAAAAATTTAAGGACAAAAAAAAAGAAAGAAGCAATAACAAGAATTTCTTGTGGGGCTACTAGAGGGAATTGGCTCATTTTTTATTGTGTGATATCGCTGGCAATTACAGAAGTGTGGGCATAACAATGAGAATTGTTGAACCTAATTTTTCCTCACGAAAGATGAATCAATTCCATAATGAAATCTTAAATTGGGATTCAAGACTCAACGGTATTTAAATCATAATATTATTAAAAAAAGGAAAGTGAGAGGGTAATTTGTAAATAAATTGGGCCGAGTTAGG